CGTGGACTGGCACTGGTCCACAGACCAGCGATTGGGAACCACTGTTCTATATAAACCATCTCTGCGAGGGGAGTAGTATAGCAGCTGTTAGGCATGGCTCACACGGGCAGCTACACAGGGCACTGAGTATGTAAGGGCACCTCTGGCTCAGCTGTCTTCCTACCCCACACTGCGGCCGCTTCATTGGTGCCTACCACCCTGCATCAGTAGCACATGAGAGATGCAGCCTGCAGTACAAGCACAGCTCCAACTCAGTCGCCTCTCCTCCACCACAGCTCTTCAGAAACAGAAGATGTCTGTCTCTGTAAGGGCGTGCTCCATCCCGAGGCATACTGTACCAGCAGCCAGTGCTCAGAGCCACTGCACCACCAGCACCATTAGTGACTGTCATTCCTCTAAGACTTTATGATGAGAAGGGTGTTTCCTAGTAGGCTGGAGACCTCATAAGAGCCCATGCTGAATGCCATATTTGGGCAGGTTGACATCTGATGCCAGTGGAAAGCAGGAAAAGGAGACACACAAATATTTTAAAAGTGGATAATCAACATGTTTTGAACTTTGAATCCAAAACTGATTTGTTTTTTAATTTGTTAGAAACTAGACAAAAGTCTAGGTAACTCTATTTGAAAATGTTCTATTAATCTCTAACTGGAAGCCTTAATTGGCACCTAAAAATCAAACTGTGGTTTTCTTGGACCGTCCCAAACAGTGGCATGTGATGGAACAAACACTTGCTCCACAGGCCTCTCTTTAGGATGCCTGTGACAATATAATACTCTCAAAATTCTGGGTTCAATGTCCCTGATAGTGTCCCTTTAAGATCCCTCCATTTTTGTTTTGTTTGCATTTGATGTGCCTCCCTGATTTAAAAAAAAATTGTAATAAGCAAAAAAAAGTCCCAAAACACAAATGGCTCCATAAAATAATAAAAGAAAATCTGCCATTCACTATTAGTCTCCTTGGTATTTACTGTAACAAGATGAGCCTCCATAACTGAACTAAGTATTAATAAGTTGTAATAAATCACTCCTGAGAAATTCTGCTGAAGTTTGGAAGTTAGAAGAGTGGATTCGAAACTCCAGAATTCACCAAGCTTGCTTCAGCTGACCTCACACAATCAGGGTTTGTTTTTTGTCATGTGTCTAATGCCCTCTTTATTAATTAGGAACAGTTCCTGGAACATGTAATAGAAACTAGCAGTGCTTCTAAGAGACCATCTGAAAGGCTGCAATGGTTGCCAGGGCTATGGAAGTGGGATTTGCAGTAGGAAATTGCTCAGGATGCTGTGAGGATTTGCAAACAGGGAAAAGAGCCTTGCTGAAAATAGCAGGAGGGGTAATGCTTAGTTACATAAAGAGCCATTGAATTGAAAACTTGAAGAACTCGGAATTGTACATACAACTGTACCTTTTTTGCCCCCTGTTCCTCTTCAACACCATCTCCTATTACAACATATACAGCTTTCCTTCCAA